CTGGAGAAATGTTCAGGATGGCCACGGATTCCCTATTGCTGAAATATATTGCTCCTCTCCTTCTTTTTCTCAAAATATGGGAATGTAGTCTGACTGTAGGTATATATACATACATACATACATACATACATACATACATACATACATACATATATTCAGAGACAAGGATTGGGTTTCACGTTACCACAGCTCATTTACCCACCGAATATTGCCACATTCTGGAACAAATGTTGGTAAGTAAGACTTTATTTGGGTCATAGACCAGCAGATACACCTAAAAGCCATTTGCAACAGCAGCAAAGATCCAAGAGGGAGCAGAACATGACCTGTGGCAAGATGTAAAAGTTTTAAAAGAGCTCAGCCATGTTGGATAATATTTGCTGCCACATCCTCATAGGTGCTAGGCAAAATTTAGCAATATTGTACTCAACAATAGCCTGCGATCTGCCAGCAGAAAAGACGTTTGCCCTGCCAATTAATAATATGTAGGCAGCCAAAGGTTCTAACCATAGTGTTAAGCACACGTGTTCTCCAACCTGGTGTCCCTACACCTTCGCTAGGACTACGACGGCAAAAAACTAGAAGCAAAACGAAAAGGAGTGCAGGATGTCTATCACTGCCACCGTAGGTGGCTCAATCCCAGAATATCACTTCATGGCCCCTATTAGGATCTGTCCTCTGTTCCTGAAAGTTTTCTGTTATTCCCAAACCACTTGCCCCAACTTGTCAGGAGGGCACCAGGTGAGGAAGCTGGTGTTGAGTTGGACGTAACAGGTTTCAAAACATTTCCCTGCCCAAAGCTTCCCGCTTCTTAAACCAGGGGAGACCAGGGGTGCCAGTGATGTCAGGTGTGACATGCCATCATCATCAGGGCTTTTAGCCTCTCGTTACAGCTGGGGAGGGAGGGGAGAAGCACAGCTTGCGAAAAGCTACTGACTAGGAGTTGGTCCCTGAGAGATGCTGACCTAAAGGGCTTTTCTCCTCTGCCTACCTTCTCCAGCTGCAGTGAGAAGCCCACTGTCCAGAAAAACAGGAGAGGTTAAGCTGAAGCGAGGAACAGCAGATGCTCCTGGTTGGAGATTGGAGAACTAGGACTTACAGTAGTTTTAGCTACTTTGCTGCCCCAGCTTCCAGTAGATTTAATCAACATTAATTATAATTGCCCCAAACACAGCTTCCTGGTAGGCCCATCTGACCCCTTTAGGCCAACGGAGAAGACTTCTCCTGCGATCTAGTTTCCCCAAAGGGCTACTTACCAGCTCCATCCGAAGCCATTCAAAGGCCATCCCAATGCTGGGGAACCCGCAAACAGACTTCAAGGGCACCTGGGCCTGATCCTCTTCTCCCACTGCCTCTTCACCCTGCTTCTCCGGGAGGGTCTTCAGAGCTCCATCCCGGAGCCCATTTCTCCAGGAGGGGCTTTGTACGTGGGCCTTCCACTCCAGGTAGGACGGGCGCCGCGTCTGTAACTTCAACTTTGCTGTCAAGGCCTTGACGCTGTCCAGGTTTTCCTCTTCCAAGTTCAATTCATCTTCCCCCAGTTCCTTGAACCTCACCAGGGCCATGGCAGAGGTGCTGGGCAGAGCGTGTGTCTCCACAGGGGACCAAATAACCAACTCCTTCTCCTTCTCGTTATGCACACTGCATGTATGTGTGCGTGCATAGACGAAAGCTGTTTATTCTTGGAACAATCAAGTCCGTGGAATTCTAAAAAAAGAACAGGAACTTTAATTATCCAGAGGTGAATGGTGGAGGGTTTTTTTAAGTACAGTATTGTCTCCAGCTGGGAGGAGACACCCTATTCTTTGAAAGGAAATTTCAACAGGAACATAAAAGACAGCAAGAGTGTAAAGTAATTTATCCTGCGCGGGCACTGCTTCCTTTCCTTATCATCAGCCAAGAAGTGTCATGGATCCTCCACCCACATCTGAAATGGGACGGAAAGATGAAAGGTCAACCCAGGATCTTCAATTTTTTATCAAGCCAAGTTATGCTTCCGCTAACCTTGGCATACTAAGAGTTGATTGGGGCAATTGTCCCCACATCTTCTCTGCCCTCTGGGCCCGCCCCAGTTTGCCTGTGACCTTGGCTTCTCCTTTAAGTACAAATTACTGTGTCAACAAGGAAGGTATAGCAGGAGCACCTCCTGCTGTTTGCCAACAAACCAAGCCACTTGATGTGCCTCAATGTAGCGTTGGGTTCTCCAGTAAATTCCAGGGCAAGCAGTGATGGGCATTGAAATGCACATACTTTACAAGTAGATGCAGGGGGCGTATTAGAAAGTCACAGACACAACAGTTTCCAGGATGGTAAGAAACAAGGGTGTCTGCAGGGTGTGGTCAAAAAAAGTCAAGAAGGTGGTCATCATGGTTTAATTGAAATTCCTGGTCAAAAAAGTCAAGATGGTGGTCACGATGGTACAATCAAAGCTCTGCCTGGTTTTTATGTTCAGCGTGGCTTCCATTTTGACTTTTTTTGACCACACCTTGCAGATCCCCCCGGGTAAAAAACCAGAATGTTGCTTTCTGCCTTTTATCCATCTTGCTCAGTATGGATTTTACTGGAGGTGGGCTAATCTTTCTGCAGTTAATGGGCTCCCCTTTGAGATTAAGTGTCTTCTTTTCAGCTGTGTACAGCTCCAGGGGTTGTCACCAAAAGGGAGTGGGATTGGATTCCCCCCACCCCACCATTTAATGTTTTTTTTTATTGGGGGGGCAAACTGCATTATAATACTAATTTGATTTTAAAACAGGCAGAATATTTCCTCAGCAATAGAGGAAAGCAAACACCTAGGGAAGGCCAAAACAAAGGATTGAAGTCCAAATGCAAACGTCGTGTGGTGCTGTTGAAATTAAAAGTGATTCTCAGAATTAACAGCAATTCTGTAGGACTGCAGATGGGGAACTTTCTCCCCTAAGGCCCTTCTTGACCCACCTGCTCAGAAGAGTTTTTTTACAAAAATTATTGTAGTAGTAGTATATACATTTGCAACTATAGGTTTTAGCACAATTCATATAAAATTACAACAATCCATATCAGTTCAATATATCCCCTCTAATATTAACAGCACTACTTGTCAACATCTGCTTTCGAATCTTCCTTGCAGCCACTAAAAACAAAGCAGCTTGTTTTCTTACATATTCGTCTACATCAGTCAACAGAAAATAGATTTTCTAAACTAGACTGATTCAGTTGGATTAACAAAGGCGTGATGATGAATCTAGCTCTAGGTTCCTGATATAATTTGCAGTGTAATAAGTAATGGATCAGATCTTCCACCTGTGAGTTATTACAAATGCATAGACGGTGTGTAGTTGGTAATCCTTTATATCTTCCTTCCAAGTAGGCTGTTGGCATTGTCTGAAACTGTAGTTCTGTGAAAGCTTGTCTCAGGGAATGGGACGTAAGAGACTGTCAATAATATGACATTCTTTGTCGATCTTTAAAAGATCAATACCACTTGGCCAACTTAAGCTTACATACCTGCTCTCTAGCTTGTTTAAAATCTTTTAAAAAATAAGTAATCTCTCAGTAGTGTACAATAATTTATGTCATTCAACAATTCCTGATCTAGCAGTAATTGTGAGAATAGTTTTAGACACAAATTCACCCATCTATTACTGTTAAATTGTTTGTGGAGGCACTGTTTTGCCAAATAAGTATTGGGCATGAGGACTAGTCTCCTATAATATAAGATTATTGCTTTCTTTACCCTTATATTAATTGATGGAATGCCCACTTCTAATCTCAACATTGCTGCTGGTATACAGAGGGGTACAGGTAGTCCTCGCTTAATGACAGTTTGTTTAATAATGGTTCAAAGTTATGACAGCTTCGGAAAAAGTGTTTTAGAACCTATACTCACACTTATGACGGTCACACCACCCCCCGAGGTCATGTGATTACAATGTGCGACCATTTTTACGATGGTTGTTAAGTGACTCACCACAGTCGTTAACTGAATCCTGACTTTGGAGAAGCTAGATTTGTTTAACAACCACGTGATTCACTTAACAACCACATGATTTGATTAATGACCACAATGATTTGTTTAATTTTGTATTTATTATTGTAATTTTGTAATTTTAATTGCTTTTAATTGTTTTGTAAACCTCCCAAAATCGTTTAACGAGATAGGCGGTGACAAATTAAATAAATAAATAAATAAATAAATACTTGTAAACATGGTCATAAAAATCAGGTCTGGTCACATGGTGACTCACTTAACTACCGCCCTGCTTAACAACCAATTTTTCAGTCCTTATTGTGGTTGTTAAGTGAGAACTACCTGTAAGGCTAAGATTGATCTCACGAATTTATTCTGGACCACTTCTAATTCTTCTAGTTTACTGAAACCCCAAATTGGGGCCCCATATATCAACTGTGAGATTGTTTTCCCCTGGAAGGTCTTAAGCACAGGCTGTAGTAGCTGTCCTCTTGAGTAGAAGAAACAATGGCTCTCATTGATCTCATGGCCATTGTTCTTGTTGATGCTATATGTGTTTTCCATGACAGTGTTTCAGTAAACTGGATACCCAAATGCTTAAATGACCTCACTTGTTCTACCTTCTTACCATCTAGTGTCCCCCTCTTTTAGCAAACACCACTACCTTGGTTTTGGAATAATTAATCTGTAAGTATTATTTCCTAGAATAAGTGCCAAATTCTGTCAGGTTTCTTCTCATTCCAATTAATGCTGTCGACATGAGTACCATGTCATCTGCATACAGTAATATAGGGACCTTTCTACTTCCAATTGATGGGGCATAAAAGGAAGGATTATTAAGCTCTTCTACAATGTTGTTTATGTAAAAATTAAAGCGGAAGGGAACCAGTATATGTCCTGTTTCAGGTCTCAACTCACACACACACACACAGTTGCTGGGTGAGGAAAGCAATTTACTCAAGGCTGAGCAGATAATAGCAGATAAGGGAAGAAATGGAAGTCAACAAAGTCTCTTGGAAAGAAAGCTTGCCTGGGTGGTTTCAGTTTCAACAGGAGCACCCAGAAGGGTAGTCAAAATCCAGTTCAAAGTTCAGAGAGCCAAACCAGGTTTGTCAGCCAGTCCAAGGTCATAGTTTCACAGTAGGATTCAGAGGAATGACACACCAGAGCAGGAAATCAGACAGTTGTTTCCAACAAGGGGGACCTAGGTCAGAGCTGCCTCTTAAATCAGGCTGTAGCCACTGACTTTAATCAAGAGATTTGCTCCCTTGCTTAACAAGGAGTCTCAGTGAAGGCTGGTGTGGGTCTTCCGGGCTGTGTGGCCGTGGTCTTGAAGTCTTGTTTCCTAACGTTTCGCCAGCACCTGTGACCGGCATCTTCAGAGTGCTTCAGAACTGCTCCTGTCTGTGCTCCTGCCCTCTG